GTGTACCAGCTCCCTTACGGCGGCATGCGTGCCACTCAAAGCCTGCACGCCCTACCTCTACATGCCACTTGGCCTAATTAAGAAATATGGAAATGGTTCAAGAGCTGCAAAGATCAGGCCACTGACCTTGTCGCTATGAGAGGGAGCGCAGCCGGCCGGCCAGGGCCTGCGCTGTCTGTTTGGGAGGCAACCAATTTATAATGAATACGGTCAAGTGGCGCGATGACAGATGAGGAAATATACTCCCTTATAATTGGATCCATTAAACCTTTAAGAAGCCATCTTCACTTTAGCAACAACAAAGTCCATCCTGCTCTTCTGTCATGCTAATCTGGTCACATCAAATGAGGCCTGAAGCTGTGCCTCTTCTAAGGAGAGGAGCAGACAAAGAGGCATGTTCGCTAACAGGAGGGTCCTGTGTAATTAGAAAATAGGCGCCGTTAATGCCGTCACGTGGAGCAATTCTGGCACCTCGGTAAAGCATATGGCGATCCAAGACCCCTTACATTCGATCCCCCATTTCGTTGACAAAGGGCAGAAAGGCCTGAACCAAGCAGAACAAATCTACCTGAAGACAACCTGCCCGTAGCTAACGTCACAAAATCATCATCGCTGCAAGACGGATATCGCAACACGTTCAAAACTCGCCCAACCGTGCTTCATTAGCATTGCTGAACTTCCTTACATAATAATAAATAAGACTGGACTTATAAATTCCTGTAATTCTTAATTAACACAGCTGTTCGGAAGATGAAATGCCCCTCCGTAGCAGTTGTTTATCAGTGGCGTTAGTGTATACAGTGTTTTATTTTATTTATGTTCAGATGCAGCAAAGGACTGGTCTTAGAAACGCACAAAAACGGCCATCAGCCTAGCGGTGGAAATTATGCACAGTCATCAGGGCATCGTGATTTACCCCCTGCTAAATCACTGCAGCAGAAAGCGTGTATGGGCAGACTCATTACAGCTCCAGGCAATCTCCCTCCAAAACAAAAACCTTTCATTTAACTGGGAAAAATAAATTAATATTGGTTTTACAAGAGCCAGTTTTATTTGCCTAAAAGCCAAGGCCTAATTCATTGGCCCTCAATTTCTTGATCGAAAACATTAACAGCAGCAGGTTTAAAATGGCTTTCTGCACATCAGCACATCCGTCCGACGCACTAAAATCTCCCGTTCTCCACGTCTGCTCATATTTCAGGCATCAAACTGTAAGCTACTCTTGGTTAAAGCTCACTTCACTATCGCTCTTCCATGTTACAGTCCATTATTTCATTTTTATTTTAACAATAAAGTCACTGCTCCAGTTGTATTTTAAGCTCAAGCAGCCATTAGTTTTATTGAGGCCTACCTCAATGAAACCGCTTACGGTTAGCTGACTTTCTGATGGTAAGAAGATGGTGACTATGGTTAAACTTTGCGGTTTTTTTATTCAAATGAGATTTTTAAAGCCTCGGTGTGGAATTCTGCTCTACAGGAGAGCTAACATCTAACATAAGTAAGAAAAAAAAGAAGTTTATTTATGAAAAAAATCTGGAACGAACGCCAGTATGCTAACTGGGGAAAAATAAATCAGCAATTGAGGAATCTATTGTCTTAATATTTCAAAAATCGCACAATATCGTTTTTTGGGGTGGGAGGGGTAACATGCTGATTTTCATTCCAATTCTTGAAAACAACTTCGGGATGAGGCTGCGAGCACATTTCTGAGGGGGGGGTGCAGGGATTGCTAAGTGACAGCTGATTTGTTTTATTGCCTTGCATAGCTGATGGGCTTGTCACAGCTGGGGTCCTGTTCATTTTAATAAAGCGCTCACGAGCCTATTGACCTGCAGTAGCATAAACATGGAGTCTCAGCTTCGCTCCAGCAGCCTGACACCATCTTGTTTGACAACATGCAACGCCAAGCATTTTTTATCAGAATTAAGTTTTCCCTTCAGTCTCCCCTGAATATTAAATACCAAGCCGACCTGCCACTTGCCAGATAAATGAATATACTACAGAAGCGTGTTTATTTCAGCGCCTTATGCAAATGTGAAGCCATGCTTTGCCTCCATAATCTTCATATTCTTAGGTATTGACAACGGTGTGCTGACTCAGTGCCTAACTATCCGGTGTGAAGCTCCTCCTTCATTTGCTATTCACCCATAATGCCGTGGGGCAAAAGAACAGGGACACAGAGAATTTATAAGCGTCGATTTCCATAATACATCAAACATGGCTGTCCTTCTGAAAGTGTAATTGTCTTCAAAAAGACTTCAGAAAGTAATATACTTGGAACTGTGTTCTTTATGGATCCAGACTAGTCGCGGTGTAATTGACAGGCCTCTGCTCTTTATTGGCTAACGTTCTCTGCGAGAGCATGGTAAATATCTCTTTGAAGACTTCCATTTCTTATTTATACATTTTTGAATGCAAGAACTGTGCCAGATGTTAGGAGACAGGCAGCTGAATTGGGGGGAGGTGTGCAGAGGGAGCACGAAAGAATAAAATCCATACTTGGAATCAAAAGTTAAGCAAACGGGGGGGGGGGGGCGCGTTTAACCACATTCATGTCTGGCATTTTCCTGAACCGTCTCCATCCTAGCTTGTGGGATGTGGCTGGATGTCTAAGGGCTAAGCGACACCCGTCACCTCGCCACCCCCCACCCCCCACCCCCCTGCCAGCCTGGTGCATGTTCTTTCCGTACACACTGTCTGGGTCAGGCAGACTTGCACTTCTGAGTCATTTATAATGGCTTTACTCTAAGGTATTGCACAATCTCATTATCGCTGGATTTTTTGCATATTTAACTACAGTTTTTAATTAGAAAGTATTTTATTATTCATGCACATAATTTGACTCAGGCTCAAGTTGCAGCTCTTTACCGTAAAGAACGAAAGAGGGAAGAAGATAAAAAAGCATGGAAAGTTCTAGTTTGTAATCTTTAACGTGAGAGGTTCAACCCGATACTCACATAATGGCTTTTAATTTTACTAATAGCTATCATGTAATGTACCTTCAGAAATGTGCGAGATTCTCAGCACTGGGAGTTGTCTCTCAACACGCAGCCAGTAAGTAGTTTGCTTTGTTTGGCTTTGACGTAGACAGTGTTTGCTCAGGGTACGGCTCCTTGATGTATTATTAAAATTGGAAATGGACTCTAGGGACACCATCTAGTTACATGCTTTCATTTGCTGGATAAACCAAGCGTCATTTTCATCTTTTCTCGTGATTGTTCGTGGCACCGCTGATGAGAGGGGTGTGTCCCCCCCCCCCCACATCCTTTATCAGTGTATGCCTTATTATGCAGGCGAAATGGTCAAGCTGCTGGATTTGTTTAAGGTTTCAATTAGTCATTTGACTGAACACATCTGTTCCTGGCAGCCTCCCTAGCCTGGACAAGCCCTATTACCAGCGTCCACCTGCTGAAGCTCTGCGGAGGCCCCCAGGCCTATGCCCGCCCGCAATCGCCTGTTTTACCGCAGGTGTCACCAAGGTGGCAGCGATGGCGAGCAGAGCCTTGCCCTCCCGTGGCTCTTGTCCAAAACACAAACGCAGCTGTTTCTGTTTTCAGGAAGAAAAAAAAAAAAACTAAATTACCATTTCACCACATTAAAATAGCTATTGCACAATAAGACGCAAAATTCCATCAAATGATAAAGAATCATGATTCTCACTGGCCATTTTGTGAGACATACCCAGTACTTGGTAGGTTCCACTTTAAGGGTTTGAGTTGTGTTGTCTGAGAAGCCTTTCTGCACACCACTGTTGTACTAAGCTGTTATTTTAAACTTGTAGCCTTCCTGTTAGCTTTAACCAGTCTGGCCATTCTCCCGTGACCTCTCTCATTAACAAACTAGTTTCCAGCCACTGAAGTAACCCAGACTAGACGATTTTTTTGTTTATCACACTGTTCTGTCAACTCCAGACACTGTAGTACATGAAAATCCCAGGAGATGTTGGAACCACCTCGTCTGGCACCAACAATCACAACACATTCAGAATCACTTAGATCAAGTGTCTCAGACGTCCTAATGCTTAAGCTGCACAGTAACTGACCCTCTTGACCCTGCCTGTATGCTGTATATATTCAGTTTCAGTCACATGATTCCCTCTTTGGAGGAACAGGCTGTTTGCGTTGGCAAGCAGGTGTACCTAATAAACAGAGTGTGCTTGTCACTGTATAAAAGAAGTACATGGAGATGTAACATTAGCTGTAACAGGATGATCATTTCCAAGGTGCAGCAGAATGACAAGTGTTAGTTCACTTTTTTCTTTTGTATAATATTAATCTTCATCTATCCATCTATCTTTCAAACATGGTGGCCTGGAGCCCATCCCAGGCAGCCTGGGGCGTAAGGCAGGGGGACACCCTGGACAGGATGGCAATCTATCACATGGTCCGCGTGTACACACACACACACACACGCACACACACAGACACGCACATGTATCACACACGCACATGTATCACGCACACACACACGCGCACACACACACACACACGCATGCGCATGTAAGGTAAACATATCCTCATGGGGACCGCTCATTCATTTCAATGGGAAAAATGCTAACACTAACTATGACAACCTTAACCCCCACCCTGCCCTAACCATAACCATAAGTAACCAAACAAAATACAAGAGTTTTTAGTTTTTTCATAGCAGTCACCGATTTTTATAAAATAGAGTTTTATAAACCGGTCCCCATGAGGGAAAAAAAAACGGATATTTATCACATTATGAGAACATTGTGTCCCCATAAGGATAGGTTTACCTGCTCGCACGCACACAAACACACACACACACATACACACACACAGACCTGTACTCATATCTTTCTGAGGATCATACATTCATTTCTATGGGCAAAACCATAAACCCAACATGATGACCTTAACCCCTATCCAGCCCTGACCTTAACCATACTGTAAGTAACCAAACAAAACACATTTTTAATTTTTTGATTGCAATCACAGATATTTATAAAATTGAATTTGCCCTTGTGGGGACTGATAGCATCTAACACACATTACACAGGCTCTGTCACTGGCTAGTAAGGTGTTATTCCTGTATTTTTCTCTGTCCTAAATGTTCACTTATTGGAAAAATATCAATTAAAATTTCAAAGCTGACAAGTGCCAGCAGATTTGGGATTATTTTTGGGAAGTCGGCAAAACATCTGCACCTTAGCTATTAATAAAGTGTTACTATACTATAATATAATCATAGATAAAAAGATTAACCTATAATCACATTTATAATGCATTACAAAGAACGTTTACTAAGGAGCTCGTAAAACTAATTTCTGAATTTGCTTCCTAAAACATTGTTTTATACTTGCAAGTGATTAGCAGGTGTTTTCATAATTACCTTGTAAAAGAGGAGCAAGATTTGGTTGTAATACATTTCTAAATTTGTTTGTGAATGAATCTTTCTATCTTTTAATATATTATCAGATGATCTTTAATGATATATTAATAGTTTATGACCTTAAACTAAAGTGTTGCCAGAAGTATAAACATTCAATTTTACTGCCGGGCACCGGGAAGAGGGTCTGCAGTGCAGCCAAAGCTGCCACTTCTCTATAAATAGTGCATACTCCATTTCATTATGGGCAGTGATTTCCAAATGGACTCTGTTTAACACCTCCGCTGCTTCAGGGTCCCGTCACATTTTGTAGGAGCTGGACAGGAGTCGGTTTCCAGTAACTGGGGCCGATCTTCGATTGCAAGGGTTCAGGGGTTGGGGGGGGAGGTTCACCGCAACCGCCGTGTCTCCTTCAACCGAGTGACACATCGGGGAATTAAATAAAACATCTCACACGTAGCAGTAGAGCAGTGGCCAGTGGTGTAAACGCGGAGCTTGACAACAGATGCTGGCGGGCTCTGTGGAAACAAGGTGCTGTAAAATTAATTTCGTCTGAATTATTTACCGTGCGCTCTACCTGCATTAGGATGTAGGCCGGGATGATCTGTAGGAAACTGAGTGTTCGGGGAAACGAAGAAAAAAAAGACAAAGGAGTGAAATGCATTTTTAAAAAGGTGATGTCGTGTTTTCAGGCTGTATTGTGAAGGTTTCATTGTTTAATATGCATTTCAAAGGTACGGGGAAGTGTGAAGGAAACGCGCTTAATAAATTTACTGGATTTTAAAATGAATTCAGGAACAGAAATGTGGAGCAGGGTTGAATTTAAGCTGTGTAAAAACAGAAATTTGGGGATATCACCCGTAAAACAATGCAGACTCATAGGGAATCATGTGGAAATATTATGATTTCTGACAAAACAGTGATTATAGGACCTGAAGTAAAATGAGCACAAATCTGGAGCTCAGGGCAGCTTCCTGTGAGCACTGACTACTCACGTTAAGGTTTGCATTCCTTCTCTGTTTTTCCCACTTTTTGCATCTCGTAAGTCATTCTGGACGAGACTTTCATCCCAACACTTATCTGTGAATCAACAGAAGTACGTGATGCGATGAGACAGCAGCACAGGGGCCACATGGCTTTGCATTTTCAAAGACAGCATCACCCCCTCGCCATTGGCTGTCCCAAGTGTCATGTGACTGCTCCACAGTGGGGGAGGATCGTTTTACAGCGCTGCAGCACACGGCACAAGACACTCTTTAACACGAGCTGATAATAAATCACAGCACTTAAGCACAGTGCATCCTTGGGGCGGCGTTCAGGGCACACTCAGCTCTTGCCCGGTAATGTTTCGGATCATATCAGTTTCCTCAGCTCACGTTCTTCACCAAAACCCACAGGCACCCCCCCCCCAAGTGGGACACTCCATGGGGGCATTCTTTCAGAGACAGCGTCCTCTGAACAAGGCCTTCCTCATTACTATAAAACCAGATGGACCTGTTCAGAGTTTTGGACAAATTTCTAAACACCTTAAAATGGACAACCGTAAACTTTCCTGGAGTTACTCTGTAATACATGCGAAGTAAAACCCAATCAGGATAAAGAAAGTGATTTAAAACTGTAAGAAAATAATGCAGAGACCATTTCATATCCATCTGTACAAGACACTTCCTCAAGCAGACAGGGCTAAATAATACTAAATTTACCTCAAAAACCATAAAAAAATTCCAATAAATCAACTACACACAAGATAAACGCGAAGGAGGATGGATTTATATAAAGGACTCACAGCAGTAATAAATGAAGCTTGTGTCGATTTCCTGCCTTTGGAAGTTTTTTCATTTTTGTAAGTTCCCAAGTGTCCTGCCTGGCGGCGATCAGGTGTCGGGCCCAAGCGGTACGGGACGAGGGGGGGGGGGGCAGCTGCACGAACTGCACTGCAGCTGCAATACCTCCATAATGTGACGTGGGGGCGGGAACATAAATCATCCCCCTACATGCCTGTTGAGGAGTGTCAGCCGTCGGAGGGGGGGGGGGGGCGCGGGACATGCCTGGGTGCTAAGTACCCCCTGATTGAGGGTGGGAGTAAAGCAAAATGGGCAGGGGTTTGAAAATGCTGACAGAATGGGCTCTACATACTGTTTATGGATCATTTGGTAAATCACACGCCTGCCACAGTTATAACACCCGGCTGAAATGTACACCACGCAGATAAATAACACTTGGACACACCACTTTATACAGTGGCAGAGCAACAAATGCCAGCTTCCTTCTCGCGGGGGGGAGGGTACATCGCATATTAGGTACGAGAAAAGGTAAAAATTTCGTAACTAAACGTTTCTATCAATAATCCGAAATGAATGATTACTGAAAGCAAAGTTTACCTTCACGACACATTACAGAATGACACCAGAAACCACACAGCAAATGGACATTACCCACATATACACAGTATATCAACGTTTCTTTTGCTATAACTTCAGCATATGTAAAATGTACTGATTAAATTGGTATTCATCACAAATTCTCAGTTTCTGCAAATTTTTATTCTGAGGGATGGATTTGGCAACAATATTACAGATTTGTTGTCCTTTATAACTGAAACATATGGAGAAGCAGCTTTATGGTATGTCAGTGAGTTTACTGCATAGGAGTCGTTTATAAAGGCACTTAGATATTTTTCATCTTGATTTTTTTTTGATGCACTGCATTTATGCAAATTATTACCATCATTCTCTATTTATGAAACTTAAATTATTCAATTAAGCAATTCAGTTGAAGCATTAAATTTTAAAGTCACTTTTTGGAAAATGTCTTCTCATACTCGACAGGAAGACAGCATGAATATTACAGCACGGCTGAGTTTAAGCTCGCCTGTCAGCATTAATTCCCAGCATGGCCAGACCCAGAAAAACCTGGAAGGAGCTCTTTGGGCCAGAGGCCACAAGACAGGAACAGTAGCTACCAAAAATGGGCTGGAACACCGGGTCACTGCAGGGGGTGCAATGTGTCCCCAAATGGGATTACAGGGCTTCTGAGATGGCATTCCTTCGGGATGTCGCAGATAGCAGGAGCGCCCAGAAAAAGTCAGGGCAAACCCAGTGAAGATCAAAGGCTGAAGGATAGCAGTGCCAAAGCTGCAGTGGAGCCCAAGAGCTGGGCTACCTGACTCCATGGCACTGGACTCAGCTCAACTGCAGAGCCATCAGGCCAGTGGCTAATCACCCCCCCCCCCCCCCAATAAACACAGCTACAGCTTCTAGACATTTCTATAAAAGGTGAATCGGCTAATGCAGTCAATTTTTTGTTCACGCTGTGGGTTGTTTTCCCTTTTTGGTCGCTGAGATCCAGAAAATTTCTACCTCTTCCGTAAAGTGCTATGAATCATCCGATAAGTCATAACACCCCATTCCCCCCAGCCCCCCGGGACCTGTGTTTTCTGCAGCTAATGACAGGCTTTAGCTTGCGCTGGGTTAATTACCGCAGACTGTCACACAGCTAAATTACAGTTCACATAAAAACACTCACTATAGTCACTAACCATTGGTGTCAGATTAACCTTTTGGGCTTTAAACATTACTGAGATAAAACATATAAATAAGACTTCAAACCCACTTCACTCGCACTCGCTGCTGCTCTGTGTTGTTTCGGCACACACACTGTAAATGTTTGACTTTAAATATATTATCATGTATCTCAAATCAAAGGTATTCATCAAAGGGCGCTTTGTTGTGCACTGACAAATCTGCATTTCCATAAATTTCACCATTGTACGAACACACGTCAGGAGCCGTTTGATGTTGACAGAATGAGTACCTCCTTGGGATTTTTTAAAAAGAATTCTTTTAGTCATGTGGCTGTGATAAAGAGTTGGGTCACATTTTGTGCAATAACTCATTCACTATCGGTAGAGCAGTCATCCCCCCACCCCCCCCCACTGCACCATCTCACACCAGGACCGCCTCATTCCAGAAATGGCAAGTGTACTAATTCCCCTGCATGTGGCCAGATTGCAAGCTTCAGTCCATGGATACTCAAGTGAAAGTGAAGGCTCCTCAGCAGGGATGAGAGTCAAAACCCCATAGCCTGAAATGTATCACAAAATGTTACATGAAACAGAAAGGCGACATGATCCCTTATGCTTATATTCAAAGAATAGCAACTCGAGAGATTGGTCTAGAACTGCCAATTGACTAGGCATCCCTTCAATACCAAAGATGGATCCAGTGATGCCAATTGACTAGGCATGCCCTCAACACCAAAGAAGGTTCCAGAACTGCCAGTTGACTAGGCATGCATACAACCACAAAGGAGGGTCCAACACTAATAACTGACAAGGCACACCCTCAGGAACCAGCTGAAGGAATCTGAGGAGTGGTTTGAGGAGCAGGCATGGTGTTCCGACTGTGGAGCCCTACAGACCATCCACACACCCATTCGCCTTCAGCATCAGTCAGTCTGTTCCCTGTGAATTATCATGTCAGGGCAGCACTCTCCCACATCAGCCAGAAAAAGCAGTGCATCTTGTTTCCTGTAAGTTGGTTTTAATTTACACACTCAGGATTCAGCCGCGTGAAAGATCTCGCATCTCGAGCAGCATAGATGCCTGCCTCCCAGCAAGTAGCCCAGCTCCATGGCTCCTCCTCCCTCCTCTCTGCATATGCCGCGCACACACCCCACATGACTCCCAGATGTGCAGCAGGGACGGAAAGACGTGGAACCAAACGCCAGTGTCCTCCATTGTGTGTCTTCCCGGGAATGGGCAAAACAGGCAGTGAAATGACAAATTCGATAAATCCACCATATGCGGAACGAGCTAAGAAACCGCGGTTAGCTATTCAGCGCAAACCGCAGCGCAGGCGACTCTCGCTCATTTGACAGAGGAAGAGAAAGAAGTCGCTTTCATGGTGGGAGCCTGTGTTTACAGCGTTACCAAAGCCATACAATTCTCCCAGTCGGCCCCATTAAAGAGACTGACGGGAAAATCGCAGAGCCGTGTTGCGGGTGACAGCACGAGGACTTCTTGTGGAGTCCAAAATTGAGCGCTGAGACTCCCTGTTGGTGCGTTAAAATTGCGAGGCTGGCATCCACGGCTATTGGAACCATATGTGTGAAAGAATTCCTCTTCTGGTAAGACATTCCCAAAACTGTCAGACAGCCAAACACTTTGGTGTTGGTCTAATTTAACCAGTATGTTGCTACAGGCTCCTATGGCTTTGATTACATCGAGAGCGTTTGGTACAAATTGAAGGAGCCAAAGCTCGCTTCTGGTGGATCAGATCCGCGCACTTGTTGAATTAAATGCTTCACTGGATTCACTTTCCACATGAAAAGATGATCTTGTTCGGGAAAGTGGTGTGTTTTTCTTAGGGCAATAAACAGGTTAAAAACTCTTTTTCCATCTAAACAAAATCCACACCAAGAGAGCATGGTTGCTGCATGAATCAGGCTGACATCTACAAAAGAGAGTAAGATGAATGACTTGATTGCACCAAGGCTGGACTTTCAACCTGATTCTGATCATTTATTTGTCTACATCCATCTCTCTTCTCACACATTCTCAATGGGTCCTTTATACAAGTAAATGATACACTGTGTCATTATTCCCCTTTAAGAACGCATCGCGTATGATTAAAATAAACATTAAAATGAAAGTTCATATGTCACCATCATTCAATGATTTTATCTTAATCCAGCCATCACTTTGTTTTTACTACAACTGAACTAACACACAGAATGATAAACTCTGAACGTAATTTAACCAGAAAAAGGAAACTGGATCTGAATCTGGATATTACATACAGCCAATGTACAGATGTATTTAGTGGACATTTGCAAGCAGATGAAGTTAATGAAAATAAAGGTTTTTCCAAGGCATTTGCCTTGTAGATAGAAAAACCTGTCACAAAATGCACACCGCTCATTAGACGTGTCTGAGGTTATGGCAGGAGGCTGTAAGCACATTCACACATATTTTTCCTAAAATAAATGGGGACAAAGCAGCTCCACAGCCACAGAAAACTCCAGAAGGATGCCTGGAAGTTCTAGTAAATATACCACTCTTGCATTTTTGTATTTCTGACATTATGTTAAAAGTAAAGGTGAGGGCACAGTCATTCCTTTCTGGCAAATGAGGTCTCTCTGCCTGCCCGTCTCCGCCATGGAGATCACGTTACTGAGCATTCAGTGTCTCTCTCAGCTTGCGTTCAGTAACTAGCTTTAAGTGGCCTGTCTATCCAGGGATAGATGCACTTTACATTTGTGTTGGGTTTTTGTGGATTGTATGATTTTCTGTTTCTTTGGTGATTCAGTCCTTGAACACATCTTAATTTTAAAGGACATTACTCGCTGTCTACGAGGGCTTCTTTCAGGGCTGTTTTTACGGCACTTTCCACTCACACGCAGACCAGGGAAATCACACATTTCAGGTGCTTCTGCAATCTTATAACTCATTTTTGGTAGAAGATATGAGTTGAGGCTGGCTTCATGTTTGGCGTCTCATCCTGCTGCACTGTAGGTTGCCAAATTTACCCACACTTCACTCCAATAAAGCGCAATGGGTCCAATAACAGCATTAATTACTTCACTGAATCAGTATTTCTTTTTGCACTGGGCTGGTATAAAACTGCAAACCTCTACTGCCTTCACTTCTGTCCTGATTTCTGATGGTTCACAAAAACAGAGTGTGCACACGTGCACGGACACAGATAGACACCTGGATAAAGGCCAGAGGCCACCGGGGCAACATCTCGGACAGTCCCTGCAGAGCCAGCTGTATAACTACCCAGTACCCCGTCCCTCCCATCAAGGAAAGTAACCCGGCCCAGAAATCCAATCGAAATGATTCATGCAACGCTTGACGTTTCCCAAACATCACTCATTCTGTGGCCTTTGATGGATTGAGACAGACAGG